AACATAAGGCTGAGCCACAGAGCAGGGTCAGCAGACATGCAGAAACACATTTTCATTTCATCTGGAGAGCGTGTATTGGTTTCTCAAGTTTGTACTTAATGATGCATATTGCCACAATCTCTGAAACCATGAAAACAGCTTTCTGCTCTTTGCATCTGCTAAAGTCCCTGGCTGGGACTGGCTGGGGCCCAGAGGGATGCAGAAAGGAATACACTGAGAGATAAGGAGATGTAGAGGTTTTTGGTGGGGAGCTCCCTGGGGAACGAGGCCTTCAGCATCCTGTAGTTCCACCCTACTCTAACCACAGTCACATACAAACACGACTTTCTCAGGGGCAAGCCTCACTTCTGGAAATGTCCCGAAATGCTCAGCCTCCTAGCACTGACATTTGAAAGGAATCTAAAACGGCCCACAAGCCATTGCAGAGATTTGAAATGACTTAGGCTCCCACGTGCACATGGGGCACACTGGGCCTCCGGGCCTCCGTGCGCACGTGCAGGGACGCTGGCTCTGGAGGGGCAGTTGAGGGACAGTTGAGGGTCAGTTCTGTTGCTAGGCTACGAGGGTTCCGGACGAAACATTCCAAGCCTCTGAGCTTCGCAGCCAAGGTGTGGCAGCGAGATCTCTGTGGCTTTTCTGTGGCGCTAGCGCTGAGATTGGGACGTGGCAAGGGGTCAAGCGGGAAGGGGGTGGTGTTGGAAGGGGAAAGGCCGGATCATGAAGAAGGTGATTAAGTTCATGAGCTGGGTGGGCGTCAGGAATCCGGAGAGTCCTGAGCCTTTGAACATCATCGATAAGAGTGAGCTGCCAAAGCTCCACAGAGCTGCATATGTAGGCTATGATGAACCATTGCGGAAGTTGCTGTCACGTAAGAAAAATGCCGTAGACAGCAGAGACAAGAACGGCAGGTAACAGTGGCGGGACGGGAGGGGGGGCGGACCTGGGAGGAGCTGCCAACTATGGTTGTAAGACAGGAATTTTAAATGGCCTTCCCACGTCAGAGATGTTGAAGTGTGAGAAAATGAACATGTTAGAATCACTGAAGTACAGGGCTGTCTCTCATCCTTGCAGCAGCAAAGTAGATATACTATCATTTTACTTAATTGAAATGTTGTCTTTGTGAAACAGTAACGGTAACAATTATATTACCTAACACTGATTGAGCTGTTATGTTGTGCAAGGAACTGCCAGACACTCTGCATAGCTTTTCATTTAAGCTTCACAGCTGCGTCCTGTGACATAACTACTACTTCATGCCCGTCTTGTTGATGAGGACACTGAGGCACAGACAGGCTAAGTGAGAGCTACTAAGGCACCGTGTTAAAGTAGAAGTCAGACCCAAGTTGAGCTCAATCTCAACGGCATGCCCTTTCTATTCAAACAGGTTGTTCTTCCATTAAAGTGGTGAGTAATAAGAGCTAATAAATATTGTTCTTTCCCCATAGAAAGAACTAAGATAAGAAGACTCAATGTTAGTTTTAAAGGGGTAGGAATAGCATACTGTTGAATGTTTACAATTACATGAATAATTGTATCTTTGAACTAGTATGCTCTGATTTCCTAAGAAGTCCTCTCATGTTTGCAGGACTCCGCTACACTTAGCCTGCATCAGCGGCTGTCCAGGAGTGGTGGTTCTCCTTATCCAGTTCCATTGTGATCTGAATGCTCGTGACAAGGAAAGGACGACAGCTCTCATCAGGGTACGTAGCTGCCAACCGTGTCCACGTGAGATGGATTCGATTTAATTCCTTAGGATAAAAATTAACTTATCTCTTTTAAACATAACAAACTGATGGAACTTGGGGAATGTTAACTTGGAATGCCTGGCACTTACAGTCTGTCTCTTGGCATGATACCAACAGGCTGTACAATTCCTGAACAGGAGATGTGCCGGTATCCTGCTGGAACACGGTGCTAACCCAAACCTTGAGGACGGCAGTCAAAACACTGCTCTCCATTATGCCATCTTGGAAGAGAGTGTGTCGATTGCAACACAGCTGCTCCGCCATAATGCAAATATCGAGGCGGTAAACAAGGTATAGCTCAACTAACTTTATTTACAAGATATTTGAAATAGAGGGTCTTTTCTCGCTACAAGTGTTTTACTTATAGTAATATGTATACTGAATGCAATACATCAGGCCCTGTTATCATGGAAACAACTCCAAAGCCAAGGCCAGGGGCTAGAGGTAGTGCCCACAGAAAGGGCAGAGCTCTGTCTCCCGGCCACACTTCTACCCCAGAAGGAACAACTTCTCCTTAGGAAGTGCCTGGGAGTGGGTGGTAAGCTCAGCGCCTACAGAAGATGAAGGCTTGCAGGGAGTGAAGTGATGGCAAGGCCTGGCTGCCTGTAGGGGCAGAGGTGCTACTGGGGATGGGTGGGAGGAGGAAGGAACACAGTACCCAGAAGGGGGAGCTGGGTGACTGCACCTGGGCAGGGGAGGCAGCAAGCCACAGGCCCTGAGCACCCCAGGATCCCAGGTTCTAGAATGTGGGCAAGTGAGGTCAGGTCATGTTTGACAGCCAGCAGGGGCATTCACTTGTGCTGGTGGCCACATGGCCCTCCATGTATACCTTGGGGTCTTCCATGCTTCTATATTTCATATTCTTTTCCATTATAGTTTACTACAGGATCTTGAGTATAGTTCCCTGTAGTATATACAGTAGGACCTTGTTCTTCAACTATTTTATATATAGTAGTTTGTATCTGCTAGTCCAAAACTTCTAATTTATTCCTCCTCCACCCCCTTGCCCCTTTGGTAGCCATCAGTTTGTTTTCTATGTCTGTGAGTCAATTTCTGTTTTGTAAATAAGTTCATTTGTATCATATTTTAGAGTCCACATATCAAGTGATACCCTATGGGATTTGCCTTCCACTTTCTGACTGACCTCACTCAGTATGAGACTCTCTAGGTCCTTCCATGTTACTGCAAATGGCATTATTTCATTCTTTTTTATGGATGAGTCGTATTCAATTATATATAAGTACACCATGCAAGATGGCAGTTTTAAAGATCAAAACCCATGACATTAGTAACAAATTGGAATTGTTTTAATAATTTAGTTTTGGCCAGCTTATGAACTAATTATCCATTGATTAACAATCAGGCAGAATCGGATACAGGTAGATTGTAGTTTTAGTAGGCATTGGAAAAATTCTTGAAGGGGGTAATATAAGCCTTTTTTAATGTACTTATTTTACAATATCTTATTTTTTTAATTGAGATATTGTCGATGTACTATATTATATGTTACAGGTATACAGTTTAGTGATTCACAAATTTTTAAAGGTTATGCTCTACTTATAGTTATTATAAACTATTGGCTCTACTCCCCATGATGTACAATACATCCTTGTAGCTCATTTTATGCCTGATTGTTTATACCTCTTAATCCTTAATCCTAATTATACATTTGATTAACAACCAGGGAGAATTTGACACAGATAGATTGTAGTTTTAGTAGGCATTGGGAAAATTCTTACAGTGGGCATTATGAGTCTTAATCACAATTTTTATTACATGTTGGGCCCAGTGTTTTTGTGTGTAAGACATATGATACTAAAGAAAGGCAAGGTTTTACATACAAATACTTGATTTATACCGAACTGTTTGGAAACACAGCAAACGTAAAAACACAAGTGGGTATAGACTAAACATGGCCCAGGATATGTTCAGTTTGTCCCCACACATTGAGTCAACATTGATAATTTAGGAGACTCATGCAGGAATCTGCATCTCAGGTCTTCTCCTGAAGAATCAAATCTGGTCCCCCTTGAGCCCAGGCTCCCAGCAGACTGCCCTGCCGGGGTGGCCCCTTCTCAGTGGGACATGTGTTCAGGCTCTATTCCCCATGATGTACAATACATCCTTGTAGCTTATTTTATGCCTGATTGTTTATACCTCTTAATCCTTAATCCTAATTATACATTTGATTAACAACCAGGGAGAATTTGACACAGATAGATTGTAGTTTTAGTAGGCATTGGGAAAATTCTTACAGTGGGTATTATGAGTCTTAATCACAATTTTTATTACATGTTGGGCCCAGTGTTTTTGTGTGTAAGACATATGATACTAAAGAAAGGCAAGGTTTTACATACAAATACTTGATTTATACCGAACTGTTTGGAAACACAGCAAACATAAAAACACAAGTGGGCTATAGACTAAACATGGCCCAGGATATGTTCAGTTTGTCCCCACACATTGAGTCAACATTTATAATTTAGGAGACTCGTGCAGGAATCTGCATCTCAGATCTTCTCCTGAAGAATCAAATCTGGTCCCCCTTGAGCCCAGGCTCCCAGCAGACTGCCCTGCCGGGGTGGCCCCTTCTCAGTGGGACATGTGTTCT